TTGTTTTTTTAAATGTGACTGGTTACTGGCAATCAGCAACGTTTCTTTGAAGAAAATGCAGGTGGGAACTCAACCCTTTCTAGTTCTCTCAGCAATTGAATATTTAAACCAACTCTCTTGTTTTCCTCTAGGTGGAAAGAGTCCCTCACAGGTTTTTAAAGAGTTCTCTTTTGCTTAAGAGAGAGAGAGGAATGAATTAGGGTGAGGGCTTCTTGTTTTGTGCTCTGCCTCAGTTTTCTTTTGTTAACTTCAGGATTAAGAATAAATGAGATGGCATTAGATGAATAAATGAGATGACATAAAACTTAGTGCATTTATTGTCCGATTAGTTAAGGCCCTTAATATATGTCTGCTCCCTTGTTAACTTACAGCTTGGGCCTTGTTAAACCTTACAATTTTGCAGGAAAAACAAAACAAAATATAAATACATCTAAAGAAATGGAGAATTGGTCTGTAAAACAAAATTTTAATTCAACAAATATTCTATGAATGTTTTAGGGATGATTACAGTATTTTCCAACCGTCTGGGCTGGCACAACATGGAACTACTACTTTCCCAATTTCAGAAGCGTCTTACATTTGGCATCCAGAGGGAGCTGTGTGACCTGATTCGGGTATCCTTACTGAATGCTCAGAGAGCCAGGGTTCTCTATGCTTCTGGCTTTCTTACTGTGGCAGACCTTGCTAGAGCAAATATTGCAGAGGTGGAGGTGATTCTGAAAAATGCTGTGCCTTTCAAAAGGTAAGAAAATACCTTTACCTACATGGGATTATTAAATTTAAAAAAAAAATGTCAATTTTAAAATAATAATGTATTACAGTATTTTTCTCTTAAATAATCTTATGATATACTTGGTGTAAGTGGAAGGAAATATGGCTACTTTTTTCCCCTTGAGGATTACTTTTTATTTTGTATATTTAAAAAATAATACATGACTTAAAAACATTCCTACTAGAATGGCTGAGTGGGGCTGGGCACAATGGATCACACCTGTGATCCCAGTACTTTGGGAGGCTGAGGCTGATTGCTTGAGCATAGGCGTTCAAGACTAGCCTGGGCAACAGAGCAAGATCTCATTACTACTAAAATTAAAAAAAAAAAAAAAAAAATAGCTGGGCGTGGTGGCATGTGCTTGTAGTCCCAGCTACTTGGGAGTGTAAGGCAGGAGGGTTGCTTGAGCCTGGGAGATCAAGGCTGCAGTGAACCCTGATAGTGCCACTGTACTCCAGGCTGGGTGACAGAGTAAGATTGTGTCTCAAAAAAAAAAAAAAAAATTACTGAGCAAAAGTTTGGTATCAATGCTTTCTGCTTTGATGGATTTTGATAATTTTAATATGATTTCATTATACATCTGGGGCTCATCTTACACTTTCTTTAGGCAAGAACATTTTAGAATACATTCCTCTGAAATGTTCTTTGGAATGCTAGTTCCTCAAAACAATTTGTGAGAAGATTCCTTGATTTTATTTTTTTGTCTGTGTTTATGTCTGAATAACCATTTACTGAATGGGCTAGACTCAGTATATAAATCAAGGAGTAGCTTAATTATTTTTTCTACCACTGTTTTTTTGAACTCGCTCCTATATGAAATCTCAGGCAGATCCTATTTCATTACTTTCAGGTACTAACAACCAGTTTTATTTTCAGGTATTAAACAGTTTGTTCTAGATAGAAGCATCAATTTCATTTCCAGTTCAGTGTTTCTTCTCTCACACACATTTTAAACCTGACTCCCGGCTCTGAGACCTTAACCTGTGTGGGAAGGGATGGGATATCTCTTCCCCATGGAAGATAATTTTTCCACAGACCAGGGGGTGGTGGAGGTGTGGTGTGGAGGTGGGGGTAGTGGGGTGGTAGAGATGGTTTGGTTTTAGGATGAAACAATTAGATTCTTATAAGGAGTATACAACCTAGAGTCCTTGCAATGTGCAGTTCACTGTAAGGTTTGCTGCAGCTGATCTGACAGGAGGCAGAGCTCAGGCAGCGATGCCCACTTGCCTGCAGCTCACCTCCTGCTATGCGGCCCAGTTCCTAACAGGCCGGGGACTGGTACTGGTCTACAGCTAGAGGGTTGAAGACTCTTGGTTTAGATTTTTAACTGGCCACTTGAAATCTGTCCACATTTGCACGGTTTAGAGGTCAGCCAGAGATTTGGGCAAAGTTTATCTGAAGAATTTGGAGTTGTTGTTCTCTAGTTATCTGTTCTTGACTGTCTTCAATTTCTAAGTAATATAGTTACTTTTAGCTCTCTTCTGACTTCTGTCAGTCAGTGGACTCCAGGTTTTATCTGAGTTTTTAGCCAACCTACAGGGTGCCGACTGGGCCCTGCCTTCAGGTAAAAAGTGAAAATTCACCCACTGCCATTTCTTTCTTCCAAGTCTCAATCCCCCTCCAGTTTCTGCTTTCTTTTTTCATTTTCTAGTCCCTTCAAATATTTTGTCCAGAGTTTATATTGTGTAAAAGGATTTGCTTTCTTGCTTTCTTTCTTTCTTTCTTTCTTTTTTTTTTTTTGTGACAAAGTCCGGCTCTTTGGCCCAGTTTTGTGTTCAATGGCACCATCTTGGTTCACTGCAACTTCCTCCCAGGTTCAAGTGATTCTCCTGTCTCAGCCTCCCAAGTAGCTGGGACTACAGACGCATGCCACCACATCTGCCTAATTTTTATATTTTTAGCAGAGACAGGATTTTACCATATTGGTCAGGCTGGTCTCGAACTCCTGACCTCAGGTGATCCACTCACCTTGGCCTCCCAAAGTGCTGGGATTACAGGTGTGAGACCCCATGCCCAGGCTTTTTTTTTTTTTTTTAAATGAGACAGGGTACTGCTCTGTCGCCCAGGTTGGAGTATAATGGCATGATCTTGTCTCACCATAATGTCTTCGAGGTTTGAGTGATTCTCATGCCTCAGCCTCCCAAGCAGCTGGGATTACAGGTGCCTGCTACCACGCCCAGCTGCTTTTTTTGTATTTTTAGTAGAGACTGGGTTTCACCATGTTGGCCAGGCTGGTCTCGAACTCCTGGCCTCAAGTGATTCACCTTCCTCAGCCTCCCAGAGTGCTGGGATTATAGGCATGAGCTACAGCACCTGGCTGGATGTTTTTCAATGAATGCTTTATGGCCCTCACTTTTTTAAAGGCTTCTACTTAAAGAATCTGTCTTAGCGAAGCCTTCCTTGATTATGCCATTTAAAAACTACAGAACTACCCACTCCTTTCTTGTGCCTCATTTTTGTATACAACCCTTATCACCAGTTAATATAGAATGCACTTTAAACTGTTGTTTATTTTCTGAATTCCCCAGCTGGAATGTAAGTGCCGTAAGAGCAGATACATCTCTCTCTCTTTTTCATTGTTATTTTTCAGTTCCTAGAACAGCTCAGATTGAATGTTTAATAAATATTTGCTGTACGAATGAATGAATTCATTCTGTCTTTTCCCATCTCCTTGTGTAGTGCCCGGAAGGCAGTGGATGAGGAAGAGGAAGCAGTTGAAGAACGTCGGAATATGCGAACTATCTGGGTGACTGGCAGAAAAGGTTTAACTGAACGGGAAGCAGCAGCCCTTATAGTGGAAGAAGCCAGAATGATTCTGCAGCAGGACCTAGTTGAAATGGGAGTGCAATGGAATCCATATGCATATTCTAGTACATGTTCATTGACTCATAGTGAGTCAGAAGTAAAGGAACACACATTTATATCCCAAACTAAGAGTTCTTATAAAAAATTAACATCAAAGAACAAAAATAACACAATATTTATTGATTCTTATATTAAGCATTCACCAAATATAGTGCAAGACTTAAATAAAAGTAGAGAGCATACAAGTTTCTTTAATTGTAATTTCCAGAATAGGAATCAAGAACATCAGAGACATTCCATTTTCAGAGCAAGAAAACAGACTTCTTTGGATATAAATAAAGAGAAGCCAGGAGCCTCTCAGAATGAGGGGGAAACAAGCATTAAGAAAGTTGTCCAGACTTTTTCAGAGAAAACAAAAAAGGCACCTTTGAATTTCAGTTCAGAAAAGATGAGTAGAAAATTTCTATCTTGGAAACACAGAAAGCGTCTAAAGCAATCCAGGCACAGCAGCCCCCTGAAAGTCTCTGGAGCATGTAGAATCAATTTACAAGGACAGACTCTGTCTAATTCTATGCTTTGTGAAGACTCGTTTAGCTTAGATGAGAAGAATACAGAATGTAGAAGTTCAGGGCCATTTGCTAAAAACATATATTTGAGTGGTGTGGGAAAAGATGACAAAACATCATTCGCGTTACAAATAAAGCAAAGCTGTTCACTAACTAATGATAATTTTGTGGAACATTTCGTCTCAGGATCTCAGAGTAAAAATGGGACCTGTCAGGCCACTAGTGTGGTTAGTGAAAAAGGCAGAGGCGAAGGTGTTGAGGTGGAAAAAATAAATGAAGTGCTGATACAAAATGATTCAAAAAACCAGAATGTTTATGTGAAACACCATGACACCCATCCTATTAACCGGTACCCTCCAAAGCAATCTAATGAACAGACAAGCACTTTTACCAAACAGAAAAATATAATAGAGAAACAAATGCCCTTTGAGGCAGTCAGGAGTTATATAAATGGAGACTTAAATGTTACGACTGTCAATTGTGAAAGGATAAAGCTTAATACAGAGGAAAATAATCCAAGTCATTTTCAGGCATTAGGAGATGATATAAGCAGAACCGAGATACCCAGTGGAGTATTTCTATCAGCTGGAGCACTTAGCAAATCAGGAGGCCAGCATGAGAATTTTCTAAATATTTCTAGACTACAAGAAAAAACAGGTGATTATACAACAAACAAAACTAAAAATAATGCTGCGGACTCAGGTTTAGTCCTCTGTGATTTTGAAGATAGTTTCTACCTGGATTCTCAGTCAGAGAAAATAATACAACAGATGGCAACTGAAAGTGCCAAACTAGGAGCAGAGGACACCAGCCTGGCAGCAGGGATAATGCAGAAGAGCTTAGTCAAACAGAACTCGATGAACTCTTTTCAGAATGAGTGTCACATTACTTTTCCTGCTGAACAGCATCCTTTAGGAGTGAAAAAGATAGATCATTTGGACCTTAAGACTGTGGGTCCTATGAAACAAAGCACTGATTCACATGGGGTTGAGATCCTGACTCCAGAAAGCCCAATTTTTCATTCTCCGATACTATTGGAGGAAAATGGTCTTTGTTTTAAAAAGAATGAACTTTCTGTTACTGATTCCCAATTAAATAGTTTTCTTCAAGTTTATCAAACACAAGAAACTGTGAAACCAGTTACACCTCTGGTTCCCCAAAAGAGAACTCCCACTGGTATAGAAGGAGAATGTCTTCCAGTTCCTGAAACAAGTTTGAATATGAGTGATAGTTTACTATTTGACAGTTTCAGTGATGACTATCTAGTAAAAGAACAACTACCTGATGTGCAAACAAAAAAAACCCTTCCTTCAGAAGTAACATCAAACCATTTTAGTGATTCTCTGTGTCTACAACAAGAAGACCTAATTAAAAAATCAAATGTAAATGACAATCAAGACATCCACCAGCAGTTGACTTTTTCCAATGATGAATCTATTATATTTTCAGAAATGGATTCTGTTCATATGGTTGAAGCTTTGGACAGTGCAGATATATTTCCTGTACAAGAGAAACATCGTACTGTAGTATCTCCTAGAGCATTAGAACTGAGTGATCCAGTACTTGATGAGCACCACCAAGGTGATCAAGATGGAGGAGATCAAGATGAAAGGGCTGAAAAATCAAAATTAACTGGGACCAGGCAAAGTAATTCATTCATGTGGTCAGGGGCATCATTTGATCTAAGTCCAGGACTGCAAATGATTTTAGATAAAGTGTCCAGTCCTCTAGAAAATGAAAAGCTAAAAATGACTATAAACTTGTCTAGTTTGAATGGAAAAAATACGGAGTTAAATGAAGAACAAGAAGTTATTTCAAACTTGGAGACAAATCAAGTGCAGGAAATTTCATTTTCTTCTAATAATGAAGTAAAAAATAAGATTGAGGTGCCAGAAAATAATGCCAATCATGGTGAAACCTCATCCCTCTTACCTCATAAAGAACGCTGTATAGTTGATGATAATGGTCTCATTCCTCCTACACCTATTCCAACATCTGCTTCTAAGCTGACATTTCCGGGGATTCTTGAAACACCTGTAAACCTTCGGAAAATTAATAATGTTTTACAACCTGGTGAAAGTTATTTACTTGGCTCACCTTCAGATATTAAAAACCACGATTTAAGTCCAGAGAGAAATGGGTTCAAAGACAACAGCCCTACTAGTGATATAAGCTTTTCACTTCAGTTATCACAGGATGGATTACAGTTAACTCCAGCCTCAAGCAGTTCAGAAAGTTTGGCCATAATTGATGTAGCAAGTGACCGAAATCTTTTTCAAACATTCATTAAAGAGTGGCGATGCAAAAAGCAATTTTCCATCTCACTGGCTTGTGAAAAGATTAGAAGTTTAACATCTTCTAAAACTGCTACTATTGGTGGTAGGTTTAAGCAAGGTAAGATTTTATTTTTATTTTTTTCACATTTATGAACTAGTCAGTAGACTGAGATAAGATTTAGATTTCTCAGTGTTAGATATAATCTATTCAAATTGTAGTATGTATTTCCTCTGTGGATTTATGTGTAGAACAGCCTTATTTATTCAGCACACCTAAATTAATAATGGTAGTTGCCCTCCAGTATAAGAAGTACATGTAATATATAGTAGAATAAAAGTTTACAAAATAAAGACAATATTTATTTTGAATATGAATGTGACATTTCTTTTATGGTATATTAGTGTTGTAACATAATGGTTTTTATTAATCATCAGTGCTCATGAATTATTTTCTTTTTCTTTCTTTTTTTTTTTTTTTTTTTTCTTTTTGAGATGGAGTCTTGCTGCATTGCCCATGCTGGAGTACAGTGGCATGATCTCGATCTTGGCTTACTGCAACCTCTGTCTTCCGGGTTCAAGGGATTCTCCTGCCTCAGCCTCCCAAGTAGCTGGAAGTACAGGCATGTGTACCATGTCCAGCTAATTTTTGTATTTTTAGTACAGATTGGGTTTCATCATGTTGGCCAGGGTGGTCTCAAACTCCTGACCTCAAGTGATCTGCCCATGTTGGCCTCTCAGAGTGCTGGGATTACAGGTGTGAGCCACTGCGCCTGGCTTCATGAATTATTTTCTGTTGAATTATAATATTCTTGTTTGCTTATGTAATTACAAAAGTACATTGCTAATAGGAACTATGTTCTTCACAGTGTACATTAGCTACATTTTCCAAGACTTATCTCAAGTAGAACTTAGACCTCCATTGATAGTCATGAATTGTTTACTGAAATGTTGCTTCCAAAACCTTGCAGAGCTCTTGCAGGTGTTGAGAGAGTTGAACCTTTTGGTCAAGTAAGGCTATGTATAGTCCTGTTTTATTGCATGAACTCTGCATTCTGGATCATGGTGACTACTTATAGTCAGCTTGAAAACCTGCTGTGGAAATCAGATGCTTGATTAGATTTATTAAACTTCAGTATTTTATGAGTTAATTTGTTCATAAAGGTTTGAGTATTTGTCTGATCTTCAATTCATGGGGCAGATGGTTTAGCCACAACTTTTATGTACTTTTAGTGTTGAATAACACTTTCCATTTTTCATGCAACAAACAATGGAGCACATTTTCTGCATCAGGCTATATAATAGAGGCTAGAGAGATTTAAAAAGTTTACCTAAGGCCAGGTGCAGTGGCTCATGCCTATAATCCCAGCACTTTGGAAGCCCAAAGTGGGCGGATCACCTGAAGTCGGGAGTTCAAGACCAGCCTGACCAACATGGAGAAACCCTGTCTCTACTAAAAAAAATAAAATTAGCCAGGCGTGGTGGTGCATGCCTGTAATCCCAGCTACTCAGGAGGCTGAGGCAGGAGAATCACTTGAACCCAGGAGGCAGAGGCCAGGTGTGGTGGTGCAAGCTTGAAATCCCAGCCACTTGGGAGGCTGAGGCAGGAGGATCGCTTGAACCCAGGAGGCAGAGGCTGTGGTGAGCCGAGATCGCAGCATTGCACTCCAGCCTGGGCAACAAGAGCAAAACTGTGTCTCCAAAAAAACAAAAAAAGTTCACCTGAATTTAAGACACATGTACTAGGTTCCTATATGCCAGTTTTTTCCTGATACTAGGGATATAATTATCAATAAGACAGACTGATTCTTGACCTTTATAAAATTGGAGATACATTATTTTAGAAAAAAATGTTGACTCTAGATACAAAATTATACTTCTTCACTAAGGAATAACATTATTTTTCTGGAATTTCTTAGTTAAGAATTGCTGAATTTGCTGCAAAGTTTTTATAGTATACAAATGATCTTTATTTTTGCTTGATTTCTAAAATTTGAAATGCAGCCTTTCTTTTTTTAAGTTAATACCCATTTAGTCATCATTATAGATTTATTTTAACAAATCTTTGGTAGCTTTTTCATAGTGACAGTTATCTTAATTGATGGGAAGCCTGGAGAGATCTTACATACACTTAAAATGACTGTCCAAATAATGCCTATTTTAAGATCTGGAAATTTTGCCTATCAAAGATAGTTTTTTTTATTATAAGTGTTTTAACAATTTATATAATACCTTTATTTTTAGAGATTTTTAACTATTTCACTTTCATTTTATTTAGCTAGCTCACCTCAGGAAACTCCTATTAGAGATTATGGATTTCCTGTTAAAGGCTGTGATGACATCTTGGTGGTTGGACTAGCAGTATGCTGGGGTGGAAGGGATGCCTATTATTTTTCATTGCAGAAGGAACAAAAGCATTCTGGTAAGTAATGAGTATTTGACTAAGTCACTATATAATTAATGTAACGTTTATTAGGGTCGTGATCTTGGTTTTTGTCTTGTTTTTTTGAGAATAGTTTCCTGATATTTACCTAGGATTAACTTTTAGAATTTAAAAAAATTGTGTTTTTTTGGTTTTTGTTTTTGTTTTTGAGACAGAGTTTTGCTCTTGTTGCCCAGGCTGGAGTGCAATGGCACAATCTTGGCTCACAGCAACCTCCACCTCCTGGTTTCAAGCGATTCTCCTGCCTCAACCTCCCAAGTAGCTGGAATTACAAACATGTGTCACCACTCCTGGGTAATTTTGTATTTTTTTTTAGTAGAGACAGGGTTTTACTGTGTTGGTCACACTGAACTCCTGACCTCAGGTGATCTGCCTGCCTTGGCCTTCCAAAGTGCTGGGATTACAGGTGTGAGCCACTGTGCCTAGCAAAAATTGTAATTTTTTGGAGAGCAGCTAGCATGTACATTATTGCATATATTAACTGGAATTAATGTTTTAAGAAGCACTTCCTTACTTCTCCCTGCCTGTCACACAAGGCTATAAATGCTATGGGCTTTTCCTCTGACGGGGCAGTGAGGCCTCAGGGAACGTCTTGCCACCTTCAGGGTTTGCTTTTGAAGACTAAACTATGGCAATTTCTTTTCAGTCTTTTGTCCTCCCACTGAATGGGTCTGAAACTCATCTAGAGGGAATGTTGAGCCAGAGATCTATAGTAGTTGAATCATATACACTTTGGAGAAGTCTTTGGAATCGAAAGGATGTAATCTGGAAATACCCTGTGATCTGACTGTGAGCTGATAGGTTGGTTTTGGACAGGAGCAAAATTAATAAGGAGACATTTTAAAGGATGCTGTATAGTGTCTGTTCCTTAGTAACCATGAAATGTTTTCAGTTGTTTTGCAGGAAGATATGTTGGGGTAAGTAGTTACTTAAACTTTTTTTATTTTTGATAGAATAGTATATGTTCATACTGAATCTGTCTTTAAAATTTATTTCCAAATACTTTTCCTGTCTTTAACTCCTCATTCTAGAAAATATAATTTTGTTTTTAGAAGTATTAATGTTTTGTACTTTCTCCCACCTAATTAAGTAGAGGACTAAAAATCTTTTAGCCCAAACCATAATTTTTAGATTATGAAGCACTTCATCTACATAGCTGATATGACCTGGATAAGATGCTGAATTACATGGAACCAGACCCTTAGGCTTCTGAGTCTTTTTCAGTCTTTCTACTAAAGATTGCTGCTTCAAATGAATTGATGTAATTTTTGACTTTTTTTGTTGTTGTTTGTTTAAAGAAATTAGTGCCAGTTTGGTTCCACCTTCTCTTGATCCAAGCCTGACTTTGAAAGACAGGATTTGGCACCTTCAATCTTGCTTGCAGAAGGAATCTGATGAGGAATGTACCGTTGTCATCTATGACTTCATCCAGAGCTATAAAATTCTTCTTCTTTCTTGTGGCATCTCCTTGGAGCAAAGTTATGAAGATCCAAAGGTTCTATGTCTTATTTAATTTTTATATACTTAACATTTTTAGTGTTAATTCTTAAGTGAATTGGTATTTACTTGGCTTCAATGATGCAGCTTAAGTCTTTAGAGTAGTCATTTATTCATTCAGTAACCTCATCTACCCAGAATAAAATTTCATGCACCAAATACCTCTGTGTAGATAAACACAGAGATGTCACAAATTCTGAGCCCTAAAGTTTATGTCTTTCCTCAGAGATTTTTAATTTGGGTCATAAGTTCTAAGTTTTCTAATAGTAAATTGGAAGTGATGTGAGAACAGTTAGCTTTAGGTCTATGATAGCAGGATGTTTTAAATCTTCATGAGGGTGCAGGCAGAAAATTGGAAAAGTGTGTGAACAAAATGTCAAAAAGGATTGTAGTTGGTGGCCATTTAGCATAGAGGCAAATCTCCTTACTGGCTCCTGAGAACTTTCCTTTATAATAGCAAAGTATGACGAACTCTTCATAATGATGACTCAGTTAAGAAACATGTTAACTTTTACATCAGACTATTTCATTTAATATTCCCCTATAAAACTTTATTCTTAACCTACAAAAGAAGTAACTGAGACACATAGTAAAGTAATTGTCAGAATTATGAACAGGGCTTAGATTCTCTTATTCCAATCCAGTTAATGATCTGCTTAATCTAGTATTAGAAACTACAGGTCTCCTAGTCTCATGGGGAAGCTGAAAATAGCAATCAAATGAATAATTGGATGGTCCTGGTGACAGACCCCCATCCTGAGGGGAAAGTCTAGAGGCTTTCTGAAACTCTGTGTATAAACTTTTAACAGTAAAACACTTATTATGCCTCACTTCTTTTGATGTTGAAAGAACTAAATATACCTAAAACCTCATAGGCCCATCTTTATTACGGTAGCTTAACCCAAATTAGCCTTAGTGGAGGAGTCCATCTAGATTTTCAGACACATGGTTTGAATTTGCTGAGACGCACTTGTTTTTCAGGCCTACTGCTGAACTGGATCGGTCAACCATTGTAGTAATGGAATAGTTACAGCTTTTGTTTCTTTGAAAGCTACTGCTGTTATTGCTACCAAAAATGAGTCCTTTTATAATTATTCTTTTCTTTTCCTTTCTCGGGAAGACCGCTGAATAAATATTAAATGAAAATGAGTGAGCTTAGAAATGAGCTTTCTTTTTTTCCCTTGTAATTTAAAGGTACAAAAGTGTCTTTGAAAAAAATCAGGAAAATATTCTCATTGCTCTTATTCAGGTGGCATGCTGGTTACTAGATCCAGATTCTCAGGAGCCGACTCTTCATAGCATAGTTACCAATTTTCTTCCTCATGAGCTTCCACTCCTAGAAGGGATGGATGCCAGCCAAGGGATTCAAAGCCTGGGGCTGAATGCTGGCAGTGAGCATTCTGGGCGATACAGAGCATCTGTGGAGTCCATTCTCGTCTTTAACTCTATGAATCAACTCAATTCTTTGTTGCAGAAGGAAAACCTTCAAGGTAAAAACCAAGTTTCTGGCATTTTTATATTATAGCCTAGAGACAAGATATTTACCACTCTTTATCAAAAATGAGTGAATTACACATTTATGCAAATCCTACCTTTGGGTTGTCTAGTGCTTTTTTCTGTAAAAGGCCAGAGAGTAAATATTTTTGGCTTTGTGAACCAATGATCCCATCACAGATACTCAACTCTGCCATTGTTGCACAAAAGCAGCTGTAGACAATACCAAAACAAATGGCTGTCTTCTAATAACGCTTGACAAAAACATGCATCTAATGTTAGTTTGGCCATAGTTTGCTGACTTCTGGCCCTCTTGTGAAGAAGAGAATTACAAAATGGCATTTATTCAGTTGTTGCTAGTTTTGTATTTGAACTTTATCAAATGATTTTTATTCACACTTAGAACACATCCTTAATGGATTTCAAAAAGTTAACTCTTTTCTTTTTGGAACTATTAACAGATTTTTTTTTCACAGCAAAGGATAATCGTTAAGAGTCTGTTTTTTCCCTCATAACAATTAACATGAATTTATTGTGGGGTCTGCTGGCCCAGATTGAGCACCCTGACTCCAGAAAACTTAATGGATGCTTATGGTAGAGATGTGAAGCAGAACGAATTGGCTTCATTGTGAGGAGATGACTGAATTTATTGACTGATCAATAAGTACTAGCAAATAGATGAATGAGTTTATACAGACTAGGGTTTTGGATCTGGACTGTACACTTATGACCTGAGGGACTTTGGGCAAACTACTGAAACTGTAAGTCTGGTTCTTATAAAATTGTTCTAAGGATGAAATAAGATAGTAAATATGGGCAGTGTTTGTCACAGAGCAGGTGCTTTTATGTTAGTTCATTATTGTAATTTTTTTTTTTTTTTTTTTTTGAGACAGAGTTTCACTCATGTTACCCAGGCTGGAGTGCAATGGCGCGATCTCGGCTCACCGCAACCTCCGCCTCCTGGGTTCAGGCAATTCTCCTGCCTCAGCCTCCTGAGTAGCTGGGATTACAGGCACACGCCACCATGCCCAGCTAATGTTTGTATTTTTAGTAGAGACAGGGTTTCACCATGTTGACCAGGATGGTCTCGATCTCTTGACCTCGTGATCCAGCCGCCTCGGCCTCCCAAAGTGCTGGGATTACAGGCCTGAGCCACCGCGCCCGGCCTCATTATTGTAATTTTTAACTTTCACCACTTCAATGTGCTTTTGAAAGCTTCTTTTTTTCTGCAAACTTTCAAAAATGTATGGCTGGCCTGGCTCAGTGGCTCCTGCCTGTAGTCCCAGCTGCTCAGGAGGGAGGATCACTTGAGCCCAGAAGTTTGAGACCAACCTGGACAACACAGTGAGACCCCCATCTTAAAAACAAGGGTGGTTAGGAGGTATTACATGCTTTTTTATACAGTGTTAATGCTTTCTTAGTCACAGAATTCAAGAATTGAAGTGCAATGAGAGAAAAGTTTTTGGAGAGAATGTAGACGGCTATAAGATTTAGTTTGAATATAATTATTTCTTTGTAGAAAGAGATCCAGATATATTTTATTTTTTAAATTTTTCTGTTAGCCGGGAGGTATTCTCATCTGATGTAGAAAAACACTTTAACTGCAACTTTTGATTTCTTTAATAACTGTAAGATTATTCATTCAGTTATTTCTTTTTGAGTATATTTGGTAAGCTATATATATATATTTTTTCCACATCTTTTAAAAAATTTTTATTACTCCACTGTGACATTCCCAACATACGTATTTTTAAAGAATTTATGTTTCATTTAAATTTTCAAATATATTGGTATACAGCTATTGCTAAGTCTCTCTTTTTTACGTCTCTGGTTTATTATATCCTCTTTTTCTTTCCTAGTAGTATTTATTATTTAATGTAACTTGAAGTTTTCCCGATTTTCTAGTCTTTTCAAAGAACCAACCTTTGCCTTTGATTCTTCCTATTACTTTTGTTTTCTGTTTCCTTGATTTCTGTTCACATCTATATTGTCTATTTTCTTCTGGTTCCCCTGACTTTATTTTGTAGTCCTTTTTCAAAATTAATAACTTTGACCTTAAAACCATTACTTCTGAAATTATTTTTTTCTTTTCTAACTTAAGAACATAAGGCAGCTGGCTGCAGTGGGTGCTCACGCCTGTAATCCCAGCACTCTGGGAGACCGAGGCAGGTGAATCACTTGAGGCCAGGAGTTTGACACCAGCCTTGCCAACATGGTGAAACCCCATCTCTACTAAAAATACAAAAATTAGCTGTGAGTGGTATTGTGCATCTGTAATCCCAGATACTCAAGAGGCTGAGGCACAGGAATCACTTGAACCCCAGAGGCAGAAGTTGCAGTGAGCAGAGATCCTATCACTGCACTGTACTGCACTGCACTGTACTGTACTGCACTCCAGCCTGGGCACTAGAGCAAGGATGTGTCACACACACACACACACACACACACACACACACACACAAATAACATAAGGCTATAAATTTCCCTCAAAGCACTACTTGTATTGCACAGTTTTCATGTGTACACACACACATACACACACACACATTTGTTTTGTAGAGGTGGGGATCTTGCTGGGATTACAGATGTGAGCCACTATTCCTGGCCTAATATATAATATTCTTATCATGCTAGATATTTTTAAATTTCTGGTATATTTTCTCACAAATTATTTAGAAGAATGGCTTTTAATTCCCAAATATTTAGAAACTTTTTTGTATTTAGACAATCTTTAAACTTAATTGTGTTGTAGTTAGAGTACATGGTTATATAATACTCATTCTTGAAATTTTTAAAGAATGATTCATGATCTAAAACTGGAACTATTGTGTAAATTATTTGCACTCGAGAATGTGTATTCTAATTCCGGATGCAGAATTTTATATGTCTGTTAAGTCAAAGTTGTTTTTAAAATATTCTGTAATTTTCCCTGTAATTCAATCAGTTTTAACTTTGTATATTTTGAGGCCATTTTATTAGGTGTATAGGTGTTTAAAATTGATTTACTTTCCTTGTGAATTAAACCTCCTATTAGTGTATTATGAGCATCTGTATTACAAATAATGATTTTTATTCTTAGTTCTTAGTCTGTTTTTTAATATGAATATGGCAACATCAGCTCTCTTTTGATTAATATTTGCTTCATATAACCTTTCTTTTTTTTAAATTCCTTTTAACCTTTCTAGGTTCCCATCTTCGGACATGTCTTATAAACAAAGTATAATTTATTTTTCAGGATTATCTTTTTTTTTTTTTTTTTTTTTTT